TTGCTACTACATTCCTTTACTGCGAGTCTCCCTGAAGTCCATGTGGGAGAGGGCTCGTACAAAGACAGCCCACCATACTAAATAAAGAGCATGGAGGCACAGCAACAAGCGGACCCAGCCGTGTGTGTCTGATTTTTGTCGGCTTATAAATTATGGTTTTAATGTGCGTTTCCTTCTCCAATTAGGCGCATATTGTCGGCTGTAGAATTTTTCTTTGATTTTTTCAAAAATCAGTGTAGAGTAGAAGTTCACCAAGCCGACGTCCAAGGTCTTGAGTGGATCCTCACAAACAGCCTTTGGTAATCTGTTGCATGCTTCCCACTGCTGAAGTAACTTTTGTGAATACCTAGTCCCCTTTGCGTGTCAGAGTCGTTGCGTGCTTCCATTTTGCTAAATGTGGTCCACTAGGCGATTGTAAACTAATTAGGACCAGCTGATAGTATTCGGCAGATGCGATTTCACGGAACCTGAAGCCAGAAGTGGCCATATTATTATCCCTTGCTTTTGTCGGTTAACTTATCCTGCCTGTATATATCAATATATTCGAATGCTTGCGTTCTAAATAGCTTGCTCATCTTGCTAATGGGGTGTTAAACACGAGTGATATACATAGTTAATGACAGAAGAGCATTACTGGCAAAGAAAATAGAGGTAGGAATGGCCATTTTTGGCTTAGTAGTCGCCATCAGCCAGTCCTACTTACTCCCAGATGATGTATCACCTGAGGCTCGAACCCGAAAATTGTTGGTTAGAAGTCCAATGTTCTAATTCACTGAGCTGCGGGGTCGCTGTCTTGCTGTTTTACTTATATATGTTAGGTAGAAGTACATTACCCGCAAAGAAAAGGTAGGCAGTAATGACCACGTCTAGCTTAATGACCGGCATCATTCAGGCATTTGCATGCCCAGTTGTTGAACCATATTAGGCTGGAATCTGCCTTCTGTTAAACGGTCTAACCACCGAGCAACGGGCATTTTGTCCCGTCGAGTGGAATCGGGTACACCGGTAACACCATTCAGCAATCGCGTTACGGCGTCTATTCATTCCGTCGTCCTGCAGGGCTTGGTCGAAAACTCTGTATGCTTTCGCATATTCACAAGACTACCGACAAAGACAGGGTGGACCGTAAACGTTATGCTGGATACTAAGTCATTCTCAGAGAGCCGTATCGAACAAGAGACCTTCTCTGAATACAGGACAACTCGATGTGCGCCTGCCAATGGCATTCCGAATCAAGTCTCGGGGTAGATATGTGCCTTAACGCCATCGGTTAGCGCATTTTATCTTAAAAGTTGAAGCGCTGAACTTCAAACAACCAGTCTCTAGGATTCAAGGCTACAGCGTAGCCTAACCGGGGGAGGTCGTGTCTGGCTAATGAAGTAGCCATTTCAGGCACCTTTTGCCTTTGTTCGTAGCCCATCTCAGCAAGCAGTATTTGTGATTGCACAATTATTAGATAACATCGGTTTTATCCTACTTCCAGCGGAAACGATTATTTCCGTTGATTCCGCTG